GGAACTACCGTGTAATCAGGGAAGTGGACGTGTATGGTAAAGTGCGCAGCAGAGGGCTCTGAACGAATGTGGGTTTGCGCTACCTGGGGTGCCGCCTCCAGACCCAGAAGAACCCTGACGACAGCGTGCAGCAGAATGTCCTCTCCTGCCACAAGAGTGACACTGGAGATGTCGTCCTCCCGGATCGCTGCACCACCCAGCACCATCGGAACGGAATCCGGGTTGAAGGGGTGTGAAATAGGCAGGCCACTTCCAGGATGTCCCCTTGAAGCTAGCAGGTTGTCCAACCGGATGGCCATGTCCACTAGCTGGTCGAAAGTCAACGTGGTGTCCCGTCAGGCTAGCTCCCTTTGGACGTCCTCTCGCAGGCTGCACTGGAAGTGGTCGATGAGGGCCCGCTCGTTCCACCCGGACCCAGCCGCTAGAGTTCGAAACTCCAGGGCAAAGTCCTGCGCGGCCCTCGTCCCCTGCCTCAGGTGGACTAGCGAACGCCCCATAGTTGTCCATCGCATCTCCTCCTTCACTCCAGACCACGTTGGCCCACCAGGGCTTTCCCCGAGAGGCAGGAGACGAGGGCGGACACCTTCTCCCGCTCCTATGGAGCCGGGCTGCAGGAGGAATCCCTGGCAATGGGCCCCTGTCCCGTCGTACTCCCTCGGTCGTGATAGGTGAATCCCTCTGGGCACTGGGGTGTGGGTGGCTGGATCCGGTCGCTCAACTGGTCCCGAAGGGTCGGGTCCTCTCCTCTCCAGGCGTTGGACGACCTGGAGAACCCGATCCATCGCTTCTCCCTAGCTGGCTAGCATGTTGGAGTGCTCCCAGACCCGCTCCACAACTCCAGGCATGTTCTCCGCTCCTGCTGACTCCATGAACGGGTGTGTGATTCTGTGGTGAGTGATTTAGAAGGAGTCAGGCGCAGGAGGGTAAATAACAGAATAAATGGGTTATTCCGTAACACAGCGCTACACAGCAATGCGTAAAACACTCCAGTGCGGAAATACAGCGCACTGGAAAACAACAAGGCACACGGGTGAATATCCCGGCAATACAAAATACAATATAGCTCCACCGAGCAAAGGTAACCTCCACAATAAACAATCACACACAAAGACAAGGGGGCAGAGGGAACACTTATACAGGTACTGATGAGGGGATATGAACCAGGTGTGTGTAATAAACAAGACAAAACAAATGGAATGATGAGATGAGGAGTGCAGTGGCTAGAAGGCCGGTGACGACGAATGCCGAAGCCTGCCCAAACAAGGAGAGGAGGCAGCTTCGGAGGAAGTCGTGACTCCTACTCAGTATTGAAGGCTTGGTTTGACAATCTCTGAATGTCATTGAGGTCTTTGGTGTTTTGTAACAGATAACTCTTTCCATTAATCGAATTGCCATTGCACAGTTTGGATGCTGGAATTACATTGTGTGTACAAAACATTAAGAACACCTGCTCTTTCCATGACAGACTGACATAGTCCAGGTGAAAACTATGATCCCTTATTAAATCCACTTCAATCAGTGTAGATGAAGGGGAGGAGACAGGTTAAAGAAGGATTTTTAAGCCTTGAGACAATTGAGAAAAGGATTGTGTATGTGTGCCATTCAGAGGGTGAATGAGCAAGACAAAAGATTGAAGTGCCTTTGAACGGGGTATCGTAGTAGGTGCTAGGCGCACCGGTTTGTGTCAAGAACTGCAACCCTGCTGGGTTTTTCATGCTCAACAGTTTCAAATCAAATCAAATGTTATTTGTCACATGCGCCGAATACCTTACCGTGAAATGCTAACTTACAAGCCCTTAACCAACAATGCAGTTTTAAGAAAAAATAAAGAGTTAAGAAAAGATTTACTAAATAAACGAAAGTAATAAAAAAGTAACACAATAAAATAACAATAACGAGGCTATATACAGGGGGTACTGGTACCGAGTCAATGTGCGGGGGTACAGTTTAGTCAGGGTAATTGAGGTAGTATATACATGTAGGTAGGGGTAAAGTGACTATGCAAAGATAATAAACAGTGAGTAGCAGCAGCGTAGCCATTTGATTAACTGTTCAGCAGTCTTATGGCTTGGGGTAGAAGCTGTTAAGGAGCCTTTTGGACCTAGACTTGGCGCTCCGGTACCACTTGCCGTGGGGTAGCAGAGAGAACAGTCTATGACTAGGGTTGCTGGAGTCTTTGACCATTTTTAGGGCCTTCCTCTGACACTGCCTGGTATAGAGGTCCTGGATGGCAGGGAACTTCGCCCCAGTGATGTACTGGGCCGTACGCACTACCCTCTGTAGTGCCTTGCGGTCGGATGCCGCAAGTTTGTTGGTGATGTGGACACCAAGGAACTTGAAGCACTCAACCTGCTCCACTACAGCCCCATCGATGTGAATGGGGGTGTGCTCTGCCCTCTTTTTCCTGTAGTCCACAATCAGCTCCTTTTTCTTGATCACGTTGAGGGAGAGGTTGTTGTCCTGGCACCACACTGCCAGGTCTCTGACCTCCTCTCTCATTGTTGTCAGTGATCAGGCCTACCACACCTTTGGGTCGTCAACAAACGTAATGATGGTGTTGGAGTTGTGCTTGGACACGCAGTCGTGGGTGAACAGGGAATAAGCACGCACCCATGAGAGGCCCCCATGTTGAGGATCAGCGTGGCAGATATGTTGTTGCCTACCCTTACCGCCCCCTTACCTGGGGGCGGCCTCGGTCAGGGACTGGTTGAAAATGTCAGTGAAGACACTTGCCAGTTAGTCAGCGCATGCTCTGAGTACACGTCCTGGTAACCCGTCTGGTCCTGCTGCCTTCTGAATTTTGACCTGTTTATAGGTCTTACTCACATCGGCTACGGAGAGCGTGATCACACATTCGTCCGGAACAGCTGGTGCTCTCATGCATGCTTCAGTGTTGCTTGCCTTGCATATAAGTCATTTAGCTTGTCTGGTAGGCTCATGTCACTGAGCAGCTTGCGGCATGGCTTCTCTTTGTATTCCGTAATAGTTTGCAAGCCTTGCCACATCAGACGAGCGTCAGTGCTGGTGTAGTAGGTTTCAATCTTAGTCCTGTATTGACGCTTTGCCTGTTTGATGGTTTGTCGGAGGGCATAGTGGGATTTCTTGTAAGCGTCCGGGTTAGTGTCCCGCTCCTTGATGGCGGCAGCTCTACCCTTTAGCTCAGTGCGGATGTTGCCTGTAATCCATGGCTTCTGGTTGGGGTATGTATGTATGGTCACTGTGGGGATGACGTCATCGATGCGCTTATTGATGAAGCTGGTGACTGATGTGGTATACTGCTCAATGCCATTGGATAAGTCCCGGAACATATTCCAGTCTTTGCAAGCAAAATAGTCTTGTAGCTTAGCATCTGCCTCATCTGACCACTTCGGTATTGAGCGAGTCACTGGTACTTCCTGCTTTAGATTTTGCATGTAAGCAGGAATCAGGAGGATATAATTATGGTCAGATTTGCCAAATGGAGAGCAAGGGAGAGGTTTGTACAAGTCTCTGTGTGTGGAGTAAAGGTGGTCTAGAGTTTTTTCCCCTCTGGTTGCACATGTGACATGCTGGTAGAAATGAGGTAAAACGGCCTTATACAGCTCCTTGAGTGCGGTCTTAGTGCCAGCATCGATTTGTGGTGATGAATAGACAGCTACGAAAAATATAGAGGAAAACGCTCTTGGTAAATAGTGTGGTCTACAGCTTATCATGATGTACTCCACCTCAGGCGAGCAAAACCTCTAGACTTCTTTAATATTAGATTTCGCGCACCAGCTGTTATTGACAAATATACACAGACCACCACTCCTCGTCTTACCGGAGGTAGCTGTTCGGTCTTGCCGATGCACGGAAAACCCAGCCATGTCGTCGTTCAGCCACGACTCGGTGAAACATAAGATATTACAGTTCCAATCCCCCTCGTTTTTTCTCTAGGTGTGATTGTTGAGTCCCATGGAAACAAGTAATACCACAGCTCTAGGAAAAACCTTGGTTTAGTTATAGGTCTAATATCTAACAAAGTTTCCACACCTTGCATTAGTGTACTAGTGTCAGTAGGCCCCTGGTATGGATGGAGGTTTGTGTGCCACAACTCTAGCCATGTGACTCGTGAGGGCTGCAGGATCCTATCACTCTGGTTCAATGACTGACTCTAGTTACACAAGGTCGACGACCTAACCATGCAACAGTACATTTTCCCAAAATGAGTAACAAATAAAGGGTTCCAAAATAAGTCACTTTGTTACTATAAAAAAGTTATTTGATGGGTCTGAAAGTGTTTGAGGGCATTAAACCCGAATGAATGTATAAACCTCGACGAAACATGTTCACTCCTGTCATTGCTGAAAGAGAAACCGTAACAGTAAAAATATGAGAATGGTGTAAGCGCATCAAGAAGTAGAATGGAAAATACACGTTGGTAACGGGCTCCGTGGATCAATTTTGTTATATTTACCCTCAAGCTGGACCGTGTCAGCGCCTTGTCTAAGTAGTAATGGTATATGCTGCCCCCTAGTGACAAATAATAACATTACATTGCTCCTAGAGAGAACAGTTATTTTCACATTATGTAGGGCTGTGCTTTCTGTTCACTCCATAACATACACAAGAGCAGGACTTTCCATCCAACCCCAGTTGCAATTTACCTGATTCAGTTTATCAGTTGGAGTGAAAACCTACAGGTTGGTAGCTCTCCAGGAACAGGGTTGGAGAGCCCTGTGCTAGAGTCTAATCTGGCCATGTCATTTAAGATTGCATGAAGCACAGCATCTGGAATTTCAACCATGACAATGACCTTCTCCCCCACACTAATGGTACTCCCATCACCATGCATCACCCAGGCCGTAAATTAAAACATTGACCTGGAACTGAGTAAGAGAAGGAGAGCATACAATCTCGGCCACCTTTAACAAAACTGTGTACACTAATCTGCATACAGTATACAACCAACCACCTTTTGGGAATAAATAGCCAATAAACACCTTTGGAAAATATATATATTTAATATACAGTATGTAATACTGAAACTATAAGGACCTCTCCAGAAATGTACATTATCAAAAATAAAAGTATCTCAGAAAATATAGGCCAATCGAAAATAAATTAGAATAGAGAGAAGTTAAAGACCACGGCACATTTGTAACACAAACACAAAAAACTGTTACGACCAAAATATTTGCTCTCCAGCCTAATGGTCAAAGTAGATTGATCACGAAACAACCATACTACTTCAGTCACAGTGACCTCATATTTAACCCTGCAGAGCAAATAAAATGGTCACTTTTTCATGAAAACAAAACGCATAACTGCAACGTCATCCCATTAACAGCACTTTGCCAAAAATTATTTTTAAACCACATCTATATAAACAAAAAGTACATTTTGTTAAAACAGAATACACAGCACACTTTCTATGGGGCTGAGGATGTCACTGTGTGGTGTAAAAGGAACATTCACGGGGGGTTACAGTTTTTGGGGCCTGGTGTGGCTCAGAGAGGGGTCCAGGTTGTTATCAGCTCGGTCCTTTGGAGCAGGTTGACAGCCAATGGTCAGAGCAGGTTGACAGCCAATGCCAGCCCAATACAGGAGCTATGAGGACGGCTCCATTTCTACCCTTCTGTAAATCAATCTATTCCCCATGGTTGTACACTAGCACATATGGGACGGCTTGGCTGTGTGAAGTCACTCAGATCCTGGCTTACAGTCCCTCTGTCCCTCAGGATAAGGGTCCACAGTAGTCCTCTGCTACTAGCATTCTTTACATACAGGGAGAGGGTTGGTTGGATGGTAAACAGAGGCTTCTGGGTCCTCCTCAACCCTCTCATCACCACTATCTGTTAACTCCAGTCTCTTCCTTCAGCGTTTGTTCCGCCGTTTATCCATTTCCTTTCGAACCCGGGCCTGCAATGCCACCCTCATGGTGGAGTCCAGAACATTCTCCTCCGCTACGCGCTCCACCACCCTCTCTGGCTTATCCTCCTAAGAGACAGATGGAGCACAGGGGTCATGACGAGGACACATTGTACTGCATGCAACAGGATGAGGAACACCATAAGAATATTTAAGTAATAATGCCAGAGAAGCCGGTGTTTGGAGGATATATTGGCACGGATGTTGTTAGGCCCGAGACGAAGTCAAGGGCCGGAAACCGTGCCAATATATTCTCCAAACACCGGCTTCGAGGGCATTATCACTTTTATACATCGGGTTACCAACATATTCAAATAATGATTTACATATTTTCATTAAAAAAGTTCTTTTTATTAAATGTATTAATCCTATTTCATCCTTCCACGAGATATAGTCCGACACAAATCTAGGGTTGCTACCCAAGCCGGCTGGTCGTTCTATCGGTTCAGTTGCCCGAGACGAGATGCGACCCAGTCATTCAGTCTTTTTGTTCTGTATCTGTGGACGCGACACAGTCGTTCATTCTAAATGTAGCCATACTTATCCCTTGCTTGCTAGCTAGCCAACTACGGCTAACTTAGTCACGTTCTCTGGAGTGATTAATCACGCTTCACCATCTTGCAGTCCGACGGACTAATCTGGGTTTGGCAGATGCCAGGCGAACGCTACCTGCCCGAATGCATAGTGCCAACTGTAAAGTTTGGTGGAGGAGGAATAATGGTCTGGGGCTGTTTTTCATGGTTCGGGTCAGGCCCCTTAGTTCCAGTTAAGGGAAATCTTAACGCTACAGCATACAATGAAATTCTAGACGATTCTGTGCTTCCAACTTTGTGGCAACAGTTTGGGGAAGGCCCTTTCCTGTTACAGCATGACAATGACCCCGTGCACAAAGCGAGGTCCATACAGAAATGGTTTGTCAAGATCGGTGTGAAAGAACTTGACTGGCCTGCACAGAGCCCTGACCTCAACACCTTTGGGATGAATTGGAACGCTGACTGTGAGACAGGCCTAATCGCCCAACATCAGTGCCTGACCTCACTAATGCTCTTGTGGCTGAATGGAAGTTAGTCCCCGCAGCAATGTTCCAACATCTAGTGGAAAGCCTTCCCAGAAGAGTGGAGGCTGTTATAGCAGCAAAGGGGGGACCAACTCCATATCAATGCCCATGATTTTGGAATGAGATGTTAATGAGCAGGTGTCCACATACTCTTGGCCATGTAGTGTATGTATGTGACCAATAAACTTTGATTTGACAGACAGACCTTGAGTACGATGTAGGAGGTGACACGGCCAGAGTCAGCCTGGTAGTCCAGCCAGAAGAGCTCAGTTCCATGGGTCTCTGGCTCTGTACTGGACCCACTCTCATTCCACTCCTCAGTCTCTGCACCCACTCCTGGCTCAGATCCATCTGGAGGCATATACATACATGCATACATTCATAAATCACCACTTACCAGAGCCTTCCATCAAGTTAACAGAAGAGTTCATACTAGCAGCAGTGTTTTCTTACTTCCACGTCGAGGATGGTACACTTGGATGTCTGGACGTCGGGGGTGTCGGGGGGTAGTGCTTTGCCTGGGCCTCTGATGCTCATTGGCCTGCTTCACCTGCTTATCATAGTCATCTCTGCAAGACATCAAAGTAACAAGTCAGTGTAAAGGATCCATCAAAACATGTAGAGAGCATCACCGCTTGGTACGGCAAATGCTTGGCATCCAACCGCAAGGCACTACATACAGAGAGAGGGTAGTGCGTACGCGTACGGCCCAGTACATCACTGGGGCCGAGCTCCCTGCCATCCAGGACTTCTATACCTGGTGGTCTCTGAGGAAGATCCTCTGTAGCTCAGCTGGTAGAGCACGGCGCTTGTAACGCCAAGGTAGTGGGTTCGATCCCCGGGACCACCCATACACAAAAAAAATGTATGCACGCATGACTGTAAGTCACTTTGGATAAAAGCATCTGCTAAATGGCATATTATTATTATTATTTATTATAAAAATTGTCAAAGACTCCAGCCACCCAAGTCAAAGACAAACAATACGCACATAATCTAAAAAGTTAAAGTAAAGAAATGTATATCAGAATGAGCAATATCATTTATATATTACGGACTCTGACATTGCTCATTCTGATATTTCAATTTTTGGATTATGTGCTTATTGTTTGTATTGCTAGGTATCCTTACTGCACTGTTGGAACTATAAACACAAGCATTTCGCAGCACCTGCAAATCTGTGTACGTGACAAATATCTCCCGAGTGGCGCAGTGGTCTAAGGCTAGCTGTGCCACTAGAGATCCTGGTTCTAATCCAGGCTCTGTCGTAGCCGGCCGCGACCGGGAGACCCATGGGGCGGCGCACAATTGGCCCAGCGTCGTCCAGGGTAGGGGAGGGAATGGCCGGCAGGGATGTAGCTCAGTTGGTAGAGCATGGCGTTTGCAACGCCAGGGTTGTGGGTTTGATTCCCACGGGGGGCCAGTATGAAAAAAATTAATGTATGCACTAACTGTAAGTCGCTCTGGATAAGAGCATCTGCTAAATGACTAAAATGTAAATACATTTTGATTTATAATGGCACAGATACAAAGATGAGTCCTCTATCTATATGGCCTGTTGTTCACACGCGTATCTGCCCTCTAATTGGCTAGAATGGTCCCACCTGATCTCGCCTGCCTTCCATCTTTGAGGACATGCATTTCCATTGTTAGAGCGGTCACATGTATATATTATCAAGATAATAAACAGTCTTTGGTTATAGTTAGGGAGGGGAAGATCTCTGTTAGACGTTGTGCGCATGCCCAGAAGTGGTTGGCGTACTAGCGATGAATTTCAACGTTATGTAGAAAACACTCGAAATTGAACAACTGCACGCTCTCAGAATTGATTACATTGATAAAATATATACCCCCACGTGTTAGCTCAGATTAACATGAACGTTTAGTGATTCACCTGGCGATCTGGTTCCTTCGAATGTGGTGTAAGAAACCGTGGCTCATGTCCAAACGACCCGTACGTTTATATTTGAGCTCTTGTTCTTCATCATCCCGCAAAATCTCCATCGTGATAGATGATTGACAATTGATTTAGTATTTCTTTATATGCACAACACCACAACAAGCGGCATCGTAACGTTAATCAAGATTTTAAAGTGAGCTGCTGTCCAACTAGAATTGCACACGGAGTTACGAGCCTTTCCATAGTCTAACATAGGATAACGTTTCTACCCCGCAAATGATCATTTTCTCACATTTTGAATCCTCGTTAATTATGTTATTTAAATTGTATAATAACCTGTTTGAAAGCTGCGTTGCTTTAGAGGCCCACATTACTAAATCTCAACCGTTCAGTTTTCACCAGAGTAAACGTCAAAACTCGGGGTACACTCTGGTTGGCCATTCTGATATTGTAGCCTGGAGTTTGCGGTGTTTTGGCAAGCACGCTAGTTAGCTAAATAAATTCACCAGTGGCATTAGCTAGTTAACTATTTTCTCTGTTTTTCCATACATAACAAAGATTAACGCTATGGTATCTGTAAAACGGGAGCGAGAAATTGACTTGGAAGACGATGATGAAGGTAGCTAGCCAACATATTTGAAAATGTGTATAAGCGAACTCTTGCTAGCTAACTAGCTAGATAGTAACAAGCTAACGTTGGCGTTTATTTCTAAACGTGTAGCATAAAACACATTGTTGGTAGCTAGCTCTAGCTTGCTGACTATTTTTAGCTAGCTAAGATCCCATACAAGCATCAAACGTGTTTTTCCTAGCTAAGCTACGTTATTGTTAGCCAGAGCAGATGTTTCTTGTAAAAAATAACGATCTGGTGTTAGCTACCTAGCTAGATACGATTGTTGTCATTGTTTGTTAACATTTAGCTACAGTTAATTATTTGTTGAAATGTTATTTGTCTTATACAGTACCTGTGAAAATTGGACGTTCATCCGAGGACGGCAGAAGTCGCCATTGTCCCTACCTCGACACAATCAATAGGTAACGTCAACTGGCCTTAACATGGAAGATGCACAAGATAAGGAATTTCTCGGATGTGTACTCTGTGTAAATCACCTCTAACACACACATTTGTCTTCAGGAGTGTACTGGACTTCGATTTTGAGAAGCTATGCTCCATCTCCCTCTCCCACATCAACGTATATGCCTGTCTAATCTGTGGGAAATACTTCCAAGGTAAATTATCCAATACTTCAGATTAAAATTGTTCCCTCCCTACCTAAGAAGTGTTCAGAAATTATTTGACCTAGGCCTAAACGAATGTGTGTGTCTTACAGGTAGAGGTCTGAAGTCCCATGCCTACACTCACAGTGTGCAGTTCACCCACCATGTGTTCCTCAATCTGCACACCCTCAAGTTCTACTGTCTGCCAGATAACTACGAGATCATTGACTCATCCTTGGAAGACATCACGGTGAGTCCAAGGAGATGGGTGTGCACACATTAACTGTAATAAGAAATTACATTTCAGAAGTGTCAGATGTATCAATTCAAACAGGCACTGATTGAATGGTGCTAAACCGATAGTTCTGAATTATAAAGTTTTTTTAATTGTTACGGTTCAGCCATAGTTTATACAATAATCCAGTGGTATGTGTCTAAAGTTATATAGAGGTGGTAATGTATTTTTCTTTGTGTTTAGTATGTATTGAAGCCCACATTCACCAGACAGCACATCTCTGGATTGGATAAGCAGGGCAAGCTGTATCGAGCCTATGATGGCACCACCTATCTGCCTGGCATCGTAGGGCTGAACAACATCAAGGCTAATGACTACGCTAATGTGGTGCTGCAGGTAAGACTGTTATCCACCACAGAGTATCCACTGGTGAATCTGACCTCTCACCATTCACATGCTGCTAAACCTTTACCTGTGTGATGATCATCCATGTTGATCTGTCTTTATCCTTCCAGGCCCTGTCCAATGTGCCCCCACTGCGGAACTACTTTTTGGAAGAGGATAATTACCGCGGCATCCGTAGGCCGCCGGGTGACATCATGTTCCTGCTGGTGCAGCGATTCGGTGAGCTGATGCGCAAGCTGTGGAACCCACGGAACTTCAAGGCCCATGTCTCGCCCCACGAGATGTTGCAGGCTGTAGTGCTGTGCAGCAAGAAGAACTTCCAGATCACCAAGCAAGGTAGGGTTTTATTATAACACATTCAGTGGGGCACAGAGCCTTGATTCTCAAGAACAAAATGTTTTTAGTACAGTCAAATGTATGTTTTGGTATGTGTTGCCCGTTATGTTGTGAATAAGCTATGCTGCTGAATGGTCTCTGTCCTGCAGGGGATGCTGTGGACTTCCTGTCATGGTTCATGAACGCTCTGCACGGCGCGCTGGGAGGAACCAAGAAGAAACCCTGTGAGTGGCAGTGGGAGGTGGAGGGAATGATGTTGGGAAGGAGGATAGGACTTAAACTGTTTTCATTGTCTTTGTCATTCAGTGTTTTCTGCCTTACTGTACAACCTGTGAGATTAACAAAGATATTTCCCTCTTCTTTCCCCTCTCTCTCCTATTGCCATTATAGCAAGCCTTACCAAAGTGTTCCAGGGTTCCATGCGTATCTTCTCCAAGAAGCTTCCTCACCCAGATTTGGTAAGTGGCTTATTGTCAGACTGCAGCATTATATCAAAGTTTAAATCCTTACTTGTGAATTCATGACTCTTCAATATTCATGCCATATTTCAACGGTTAAATTGTCCACGTTACATGCCTTTCTCTCTCTCCAGCCACCCGAGGAGAAGGAGGCTCTGCTTCTGAAGGAGGAGTACCAGGAGGAGATGTCTGACACCACCTTCCTCTTCCTGACCCTTGACCTCCCCACAGCCCCGCTGTACAAGGATGAGAAGGAGCAGCTCATCATCCCACAGGTCCCCCTCTTCAACATCCTGGCCAAGTTCAACGGCAACACAGAGAAGGTACTGCCATAAAATTCACACTTAAATTAGCTCAGGTGAACAGCACTCCTATCTCCAAGCCAACCATCTCTCCCACCAAGTGAGATGAAAACTAGTCTCGGAAGCCTAGGATTCTCACATTCTTTTTTCGAAAGCCTGGTGAAGTTCTCCTCAGGAAGATGATAAAAAGGGGTGGAATACGGTGGAGTCTAGATGTAAACTAGTGATGCGTTACCACTCGTCAAGCCAATCAAATATTTAGCATGGGTGGATCTACAAACAGATGTTGTGTTTCTGAAAAGATTTCGGACTTGCAACAAGCTAACTAACGCTGCATAGGCTACTAAAACAAATGCGAGTTTAAAGCTAGCGCTCCCATTCAAACGCAAAATCTACCAAAAGCAGTCAACGAGACAAGATTTAGGATGGCCTGCAAGACTTCAGCTTTGGTTTGAAAGAGATTTTAAGTGCTTTATCACATCTTGATTTCCCTCACCTCTTCGACCTTTCCTCTGAACCCTCCTGTTTGCTTTTAGGAGTATAAAACATACAAAGAGAATTTCCTCAAGAGGTTCCAGTTGCTCAAGCTGCCCCCCTATCTCATCTTCTGCATCAAGAGGTTCACCAAGAACAACTTCTTTGTGGAGAAGAACCCCACCATCGTCAACTTCCCCATCACGTAAGTGACTGTTGCATACTTTCCCCATGTACTCAATGGTAATTTAGCATTGTGCTCAGGCTTATGATTCTGTGTGTGTTTTTGACTGTCCCCTTGCATTTGCTCCTTGATCAGGAACGTAGACCTTCGTGAGTACCTGACAGAGGAAGCACAGGTCACAGAGAAGAACACAACCTATGACCTGGTGGCCAACGTGGTACATGATGGGAAGCCCACTGAGGGGGCATACAGAATTCATGTCCTTCATCATGTAAGTGACAGCTGCATGTTTAGGACTTTTTCCTGGTGAAAATTGGTAAAGCTTAAGATGTGCAATATTTTATGATATTGTGAAAGAAATACTCATCCTGTTCAGTTATTGGTGCTAATGTGTGCCTATGTTTGTCGCTGAAGGGCACTGGGAAGTGGTACGAGCTCCAGGACCTGCAGGTGACAGATATCCTGCCCCAGATGATCACACTGTCAGAGGCCTACATTCAGGTAAGTTCTATTGTCACATTGACCACTGATTATACAAGATGCTTTTCTCTAATTTACAGGTTTATGTCTAGATAAGTTACTGACTCCCTGTAACTGTCAATTATATTGATGTGTGGGTTCTCTGTGTTCCAGATTTGGAAAAGAAGAGAGAGTGAAGATGACACAACTAACCACACGGGGGCGTGAATGAGGCATTTAATGAGCATTGATCATATTTAAAGATTGATTGCTGGCTAGTGGTCAGACAGTATCCAGTGGAATTGGATACTGTCCAAGATGACCTCAGGGTAAGCCCCCACCACATGAGGACCACAACATTTTATTTGAGGATTTTGGATATAGAGAAAACAATGATGTATACTATTTTTTGTTCTTCACTTCAATTTGTAACTGTAAATGGTGGAATAAACCAGCTTTGAAATGTCTGTTTTCAGTCGTTAATATTATTTGAGATTTTGCACGTTTTGAAATGTGTTGATTTATTAGAATCTTAGCCAGAGTTGGGTATTTATTTGTGAAACAAGGAAGTAAAAACATTAAATAAAATGCCAACATTTGGAATAAGACATGACCAAATAGTGAGGGTTACAAAAGGATTTTCATATTGTAAGCAGTACATTATAGGATAAGTATACTAATGTATACACAAATACTTTGGTCTCACACATGCATATTTACTTAGATCACAAAAATGAAGTCTAATCATTGTACATTAAACTGTGGCGGCAGGTAGCTTAGTGGTTAAGAGCATTGTGCCAGTAACCGAAAGGTCGCTGGTTCTAATCCCTGAGCCGACTAGGTGAAAAATCTGTCTGTGCCCTTGAGCAAGGCACTTAACCCTAATTGCTCCTGTAAGTCACTCTGGATAAGAGCGTCTGCTAAATGACTAAAAAAAATAAGGCAGTGCATTGACATATTACTGATTTTAAAGGATTTCTCATCAACAGGAGGTACATGTTCACTCATATATGTTTCAAGGCACTTTGCCATTTTATTTACTGTACCATATTTGTTTTTCCTGATTATGACTGATTTTATATGAAGATAGCCTAACTTTATTGCAGACAACAGTGAAAAGTCACAATGAATTTCCAATATAAATGATGTATTATACTTGTGGATATATCTGCTTAAATAGGTCCACTATTATTTTAACTCAAACATTTACAGTATGTTTGAATTAATTACTTACTGCGCTCGTAACAGCCTACACAGTGCAAATCAAACCTGACAACATCAAATCATCATCTCAGTGCTACAACATTAACCTACCACAACAAGTACAAATCAAATGAAGGAAATGTACAGACATTTTTCTCAAATTGCTCATCAGTAGAATATCATACCTGTTAAATGAAATGTACAGAAAAAGTATTAAGGCAACAGTGCAGTCAGTAACAAGTGCAATTCTTAAACACATTTTGCAGTTAATAAATGCAGATAAATCATCAGAGATTCATCCATGAAGGGAGATCGCTGGGTGTGGTTCTCAGCTCTAGTTCCACATGACCTTCAGGCAGAAGTCTACCATCTGGAGTTGTATGAAAATAAAACCAGATCAGATATAATGCACTCTACCAAAACATTGGTGTGGGTAGGGATGTTTTTCAGATAATACACCATAGCTTGTACTATGCTCTAGTTTGCTTATTTACCTGTAGTTTGGGTTGTTGTATCAGATAATAAACCATGGCAGATCTAGTTTACTTACACCATACTCCTGAGCGGTTTTCAAGTCCCCGCAGATGTAACTGGGTCCCCAGGTACACTGGTTCTTCCTCAGAAGATGCTGCTCTTTCACAGCAACACACACACCAGCTCTCTGGAGGACACATTGATAAATAGCTGATATACTGACTAAGAGAAGACTCAGTCACTCTACACACAATCACACCACTGTTGTCACCGGGACAGTTGGTCATGGTTAGTAATGAAAAGAAGTGGTCTGGGGATTATAGACGGCGAGGTTAGGAGTGTCAGACACAGTAGAGTCAGAGGAGGACCTCTCCTATGGCTGGGGTAGGAATGGTTTAATTACCTCACATGCATCCGGAGTATCCATTTGGCTTCCCAGAACCTTCTGCAGCCTGGGGCCATAGAGTTTGGTGAACATTTCACACTGGAAAGAACACAAAGGCAGGCACAATGAAACTGACGTAACTGCTACTCGCTGTTTATTATCTACAGTGGGGAAAAAAAGTATTTAGTCAGCCACCAATTGTGCAAGTTCTCCTACTTAAAAAGATGACAGAGGCCTGTGATTTTCATCATAGGTACACGTCAACTATGACAGACAAAATGAGGAAAAAAAATCCAGAAAATCACATTGTAGGATTTTTAATGAATTTATTTGCAAATTATGGTGGAAAATAAGTATTTGGTCAATAACAAAAGTTTCTCAATACTTTGTTATATACCCTTTGTTGGCAATGACACAGGTCAAACATTTTCTGTAAGTCTTCACAAGGTTTTCACACACTGTTGCTGGTATTTTGGCCCATTCCTCCATGCAGATCTCCTCTAGAGCAGTGATGTTTTGGGGCTGTCGCTGGGCAACATGGACTTTCAACTCCCTCCAAAGATTTTCTATGGGGTTGAGATCTGGAGACTGGCTAGGCCACTCCAGGACCTTGAAATGCATCTTACGAAGCCACTCCTTTGTTGCCCGGGCGGTGTGTTTGGGATCATTGTCATGCTGAAAGACCCAGCCACGTTTCATCTTCAATGCCCTTGCTGATGGAAGGAGGTTTTCACTCAAAATCTCACGATACATGGCCCCATTCATTCTTTCCTTTACACGGATCAGTCGTCCTGGTCCCTTTGCAGAAAAACAGCCCCAAAGCATGATATTTCCACCCCCATGCTTCACAGTAGGTATGGTGTTCTTTGGATGCAACTCAGCATTCTTTGTCCTCCAAACACGACGAGAGTTGAGTTTTTACCAAAAAGTTCTATTTTGGTTTCATCTGACCATATGACATTCTCCCAATCCTCTTCTGGATCATCCAAATGCACTCTAACAAACTTCAGACGGGCCTAGACATGTACTGGTTTAAGCAGGGGGACACGTCTAGCACTGCAGGATTTGAGTCCCTGGCGGCGTAGTGTGTTACTGATGGTAGGCTTTGTTACTTTGGTCCCAGCTCTCTGCAGGTCATTCACTAGGTCCCCCCGTGTGGTTCTGGGATTTTTGCTCACCGTTCTTGTGATCATTTTGACCCCACGGGGTGAGATCTTGCGTGGAGCCCCAGATCGAGGGAGATTATCAGTGGTCTTGTATGTCTTCCATTTCCTAATAATTGCTCCCACAGTTGATTTCTTCAAACCAAGCTGCTTACCTATTGCAGATTCAGTCTTCCCAGCCTGGTGCAGGTCTACAATTTTGTTTCTGGTGTCCTTTGACAGCTCTTTGGTCTTGGCCATAGTGGAGTTTGGAGTGTGACTGTTTGAGGTTGTGGACAGGTGATAACAAGTTCAAACAGGTGCCATTAATACAGGTAACGAGTGGAGGACAGAGGAGCCTCTTAAAGAAGAAGTTACATGTCTGTGAGAGCCAGAAATCTTGCTTGTTTGTAGGTGACCAAATACTTATTTTCCACCATAATTTGCAAATAAATTCATTAAAAATCCTACAATGTGATTTTCTGGATTTTTTTTTCTCCAATATGTCTGTCATAGTTGACGTGTACCTATGATGAAAATTACAGGACTCTCTCATCTTTTTAAGTGGGAGAACTTGCACAATTGGTGTCTGACTAAATACTTTTTTTCCCCACTGTATGCATAGTCACTTTACCCCTACCTAGATGTACATATTCCCTTGACTAACCTGTACCCTCCGCACATTGACTCGGTACCGTTACCCCCTGTATATAGCCTCGTGATTGTTATTTGATTGTGTCTTTTAAATATTTGTTTTACTTTATTTAGTAAACATTTTCTTAACTCTTATTTTTCTTAAAACGACATTGTTGGTTATGGGCTTATAAGTAAGCATTTCACGATAAGGTCTTCTACACCTGTTGTATTCGGTGCATCTGACAAATAAAATGTGATTTGATTTGCCTTTCACACCGTTGAAAGCTTTTTGTTATTCTGTCTCTTCCGGTGACTACAAAATAGAGCGCTATGTTTAGGCCTACTCCTAGTACTGGTAGTGGTGACAACTTGTGTAAACTCTGAGGCTTCTCATACACTAAACAAACATGTAGGGGCTGAGGGGCAGACCTTGGGGATGGCGTTGGGGTGCTTCAGGCAGACAGACTGGAGGAAAGAGGAGGTCTGAGGTTCAGTGGCGTTGAGACCCAGGTGGAGCCGGCTCAGAACCGCCATCGTACGGCAGGAATCACAGTCAGAGGGTAGGGGCATCTCTGGGGGGGGGGGGGGGGGGGGGGGGGGTATAGGGTTACAGAGGGCTACAGTGTTGAAGAGCAGCACCAAGTGAGATGGGCAATCTACAGACCATGGAGAGCATAAACGATGAGGGAAGATGAGGAGAGAGCCGCCCACCACACACATATAACCTTATGATTGAGGAGGATAGAGCCCTGGTCTGAACAAATTACCCCACTCACCCATGCTGGGGGTCTCCTGGAACATATACAGGTGCAGCAATGCACAGATGGAGTAAGGGGTAGCTGACGGCAGCAGGATGTCAACTATCTCCTTGCCATACTTGTTGATGAAGTCATTGCACTGGTCCTTGTAGCTGGCAGGCAGGAGGCCACACACTCCTCCCATTAGCTTCAATACGGCATCCTGCAAGGTTCAAGGTGAACAAGGGTGTCCAGCAAAAAGTGTTTTTGTCTGTGTGTTAGTGGTTGCAGACGTGTGAAAAAAAGGATGGGTTACCCCAATCTTCTCCGTAGGCAACAAGCTCTCCAGTTTCTTCATGAGATAAACACAGAAGGTACATTGTGGTCTGACCTGCACCTAGAGAGGAGATGACATGGTGAGAGAGCGTTCAGTGCAGAGTGCAGACAGATGATGACTAACTGACAGCCAAATAAGTTAGAACAAGACAAACACATTGACAATCAAACAAAAAGGGCATGAATGGGACTTCTGCTCCTAGACTGTACAAAAGTTCAGCTCTCACTCACCTCTGGGCTGGTGCCTGAGTCAAGGACAGCGTTGGACAGCTTCATGTCAGTGATTGTAGGAGAAAGCTGTTTAGGTGCTCCCCTCTCTGAGCAGACAGCACACAGTCCCAAGACCATACATGTCTCACCTGGCTTCTACAAATATGAAGGAGGGAGGAAGAGTGTTAATAAAGGAGAGGAAGACAGGTAAGAGTTCTTGTATAATCACAAAATCGTCGCCCTTGAATGTATCATAAAAGTGAATGTAGAAACATTTTGGATGGTTATGTTGTAGCCCTGTAAACCAGACCTCCCTATCTCTGTATGTTTGCAGTGCTCAGGAACTCACCAGTATGCCAATGAGGTACTGGAGGGCTTGGGGCAGGTACATCTCCACCTGGGATATACAGTGGCTTTGAGCCATACCTCCAGGGAGGCGCTTACACAGGTAATCCAGGGTGTTGAGGATCAGCTCCTAAACAATCAACACAGGTACAGTACCAGTCAAAGGTTTGGACACACCTACTCATTCCAGGGTCTTTCTTTATTTTTTACTATTTTTTACATTGTAGAATAATAGTGAAGACATAACTATGAAATAACACATATGGAATCATGTAGTAACCCAAAAAGTGTTAAACAAATCAAAATATATGTTATATTTGAGATTCTTCAAAGTAGCCACCCTTTGCCTTGATGACAGCTTTGCACACTCTTGGCATTCTCTCAACCTGCTTCATGAGGTAGTCACCTGGAATGCATTTCAATGAACAGGTGTGCCTTCTTAAAAGTTAATTTGTGGAATTTCTTTCCTTCTTAATGCGTATACAGAAGATAGCCCTATTTGGTAAAAGACCAATTCCATATTATGACAAGAACAGCTCAAATAAGCAAAGATAAACGACAGTCCATCATTGCTTTAGGACATGAGGTCAGTCAATCAGGAACATTTCAAGAACTTTGAAAGTTTCTTCAAGTGCAGTCACAAAAACCATCAAGCGCTATGATGAAACTAGCTCTCATGAGGACAGCCACAGGAAAGGAAGACCCAGAGTTACCTCTGCTGCAGAGGATAAGTTCATTAGAGTTAACTGCACCTCAGATTGCAGCCAAAATAAATGCTTCACAGAGTTCAAGTAACAGACACATCTCAACATTAACTGTTCAGAGGAGACTGCGTGATTCAGGCCTTCATGGTCGAATTGCTGCAAAGAAACCATTACTAAAGGACACCAATAAGAAGAAGAGACTTGCTTGGCCAAGAAACACGAGCAATGAACATTAGACCGGTGGAAATCTGTCCTTTGGTCTGATGAGTCCAAATTTGAGATTTTTGGTTCCAACCGCCGTGTCTTTATGAGACGCAGAGTAGGTGAATGGATGATCTCTGCATGTGTGGTTCCCAACATGAAGCATGGAGGAGGAGATGTGATGGTGTAGGGGTGCTTTGCTGGTGACACTGTCAGTGATTTATTTAGAATTCAAGGCACACTTAACCAGCATGGCTACCACAGCATTCTGCAGTGATAAGCCATCCCATCTGGTTTGGGCTTAGTGGGACTATCATTTGTTTTTCAACAGGACAATGACCCAAAACACACCTCCAGGCTGTGTAAGGGCTATTTGACCAAGAAGGATGATGGAGTGCTGCATCAGATGACCTGGCCTCCACAATCACCCGACCTCAACCCAATTGATATGGTTTGGGATGAGTTGAACCGCAGAGTGAAGGAAAAGCAGCCAACAAGTGCTCAGCATATGTGAGAACTCCTTCAAGACTGTTGGAAAAGCATTCCTCATGAAGTTGGTTGAGAGAATGTCAAGAGCGTGTAAAGCTGTCATCAAAGCAAAAGGTGGCTACTTTGAAGAATCTCAAATATAAAATACATTTTGATTTGTTTAACACTTTTTTGGTTACTACATGATTCCATATGTGTTATTTCATAGTTTTGATGTCTTCACTATTATTCTACAATGTAGAAAATAGTTTTAAAAAGAAGAAAACCCTTGAATGAGTAGGTGTGTCCAAACTTTTAACTGGTACTGTACATATACAGTTACACTGTTGGTGGCTCACTTTGTTGAGGGGTGAAATGCACAATTTGACATCCTTCTAGCAGACTTTGACATCCTTCTAGCAGACTTTGACATCCTTCTAGCAGACTTTGACATCCTTCTAGCAGACTTTGTTTTAAGCTCAGAGTTCAACATAATGTAGTCTCTGTTGACTGTAGTGTAAGGGAGTTTTTGCTAGACATGATATTCTATATTTACACTGTAAACGGGAACTGAAAGATGGGGGAGGTCTGAGACCAGATGGCTTTTTTTAGATGTACAGTTGAAGTCGGAAGTTTACATACACTTAGGTTGAAGTCATTAAAACTCGTTTTTCAACCACTCCACAAATTTCTTGTTAACAAACTATAGTTTTGGCAAGTCGGTTAGGACATCTACTTTGTGCATGACACAAGTCACTTTTCCAACAATTGTTTACAGACAGATTATTTCACTTATAATTCACTGTATCACAATTACAGTGGGTCAGAAGTTTACATACACTAAGTTGACTGTGCCTTTAAACAGCTTGGAAAATTCCAGAAAATGATTTCATGGCTTTAGAAGCTTCTGATAGGCTAATTGACATAATTTGAGTCAATTGGAGGTGTACCTGTGGGTGTATTTCAAGGCCTACCTTCAAACTCAGTGCCTCTTTGCTTGACATCATGGGAAAATCAAAAGAAATCAGCCAAGACCTCAGAAATAAAAATGGTAGACCTCCACAAGTCTGGTTCATCCTTGGGAGCAATTTCCAAACGCCTAAAGGTACCACGTTAATCTGTACAAACAATAGTATGCAAGTATAAACACCACGCAGCCGTCATACCGCTCAGGAAGGAGACGCGTTCCGTCTCCTAGAGATGAACATACTTTGGTGCGAAAAGTGCAAATCAATCCCAGAACAACAGCAAAGGACCTTGTGAAGATGCTGGAGGAAACAGGTACAAAAGTATCTATATCCACAGTAAAACGAGTCCTATATCGACATAACCTGAAAGGCCGCTCAGCAAGGAAGAAGCCACTGCTTCACAACCGCAATTAAAAAGACAGACTACGGTTTGCAACTGCACATGGGGACAAAGATCGTACTTTTTGGAGAATTGTCCTCTGGTCTGATTAAACAGAAATATAACTGTTTGTCCATAATGACCATCGTTATGTTTGGAGGAAAAAGGGGCGGCAGGTAGCTTAGTGGGTAAGAGCGTTGTGCCAGTAACCGAAAGGTCGCTGGTTCTAATCCCCGAGCTGACTAGGTGAAAAATCTGTCGATGTGCCCTTAAGCAAGGCACTTAACCCTAATTGCTCCTGTAAGTCGCTCTGGATAAGAGCGTCTGCTAAATGACTAAAATGTAAATGTAAAAAATGAAAAAGGGGAAGGCTTGCAAGCCGAAGAACACCATCCCAACCGTGAAGTACGGGGGTGGCAGCATCATGCTGTGGGGATGCTTTGCTGCAGGAGGGACTGGTGCACTTCACAAAATAGATGGCATCATGAGGAAGGAATATTATGTGGATATATTGAAGCAACATCTCAAGACATCAGTCAGGAAGTTAAAGCTTGGTCGCAAATGGGTCTTCCAAATGGACAATGACCCCAAGCATACTTCCAAAGTTGTGGCAAAATGGCTTAAGGACAACAAAGTCAAGGTATTGGAGTGGCCATCACAAAGCCCTTACCTTAATCCTATAGAAAATTTGTGGGCAGAACTGAAAAAGCGTGCGCAAGCAAGGAGGCCTACAAACCTGACTCAGTTACACCAGCTCTGTCAGGAGGAATGGGCCAAAATTCACCCAACTTATTGTGGGAAGCTTGTGGAAGGCTACCCGAAACGTTTGACCCAAGTTAAACAATTTAAAGGCAATGCTACCAAATACTAATTGAGTGTATGTAAACTTCTGACCCACTGGGAATGTGATGAAAGAAATAAAAGCTGAAATAATCATTCTCTCTACTATTAGGCTCCTGAGTGGCGCAGCGGTCTAAGGCACTGCATCTCAGTGCTTGAGGCGTCACTACAGACCCCCTGGTTTGATTCCAGGCTGTATCACAACCGGCCGTGATTGGGAGTCCCATAGGGCGGGGCACAATTGGCCCAGCGTCGTCCGGGTTTGGCCGGTGTAGGCTGTCATTGTAAATAAGAATTTGTTCTTAACTGACTTGCCTAGTTAAATAAAGGTTAAATAAAAATAAAAATAAATATTCTGACATTTCACATTCTTAAAATAAAGTGTTGATCCTAACTGACCTAAAACATGGATTTTTTACTAGGATTAAATGTCAGGAATTGTGAATGTATTTGGCTAAGGTGTATGTAAACTTCCGACTTCAACTGTATTTCTGGCTACAGAAATTAAATGAAAAGTAACACTTTCTGGTCAGGGTGTTATCTGCATCTCTGGCTACAACCAAAAAATATTGAGCAACATACTTCAGCAGAATCAGAATAGGTACTCACCTGGGTGTCTGTGTTGGAGATCATGTCTGTGAATAGCTCAATGATCTGGCTGCAGTCTGAGCAGATGTCAGTTGTCTGGTAGAAGGGCAGAGGTGAGAGGTGAGAGGTCAGCGATTCACTATAATTTACCATTTTCATCTCTAACCTAACAACCACATGATTTTCAGCTTGTGTACAGTTCAGGCCTGGAAGCTCTGGTGAAAAAAGGGACACCACAACAACCATCTTTCTTAAGTAGAAAAATGACTAGTGTGTGAAAGCAGAAGTGAAACAGGCTTGGTGTGTTAATAGAAATATGTGGCCAAGAGTTATCTATGGATGAATAATTTGTGAACCAAGTACTGGGGCATATCCTCTAGAATCGAGAATACAAGCTATACAATTGGTAACTGTTAACAGGGGACTTGGGTATACAGTGAGGGAAAAAAGTATTTGATCCCCTGCTGATTTTGTACGTTTGCCCACTGACAAAGAAATGATCAGTCTATAATTTTAATGGTAGGTTTATTTGAACAGTGAGAGAGAATAACAACATAAAAATCCAGAAAAATGCATGTCAAAAATGTTATAAATTGATTTGCATTTTAATGAGGGAAATATGTATTTGACCCCCTCTCAATCAGGAAGATGTCTGGCTCCCAGGTGTATTTTATACAGGTAATGAGCTGAGATTAGGAGCACACTCACTTAGAGTGCTCCTAATCTCAGTTTGTTACCTGTATAAAAGACACCTGTCCACAGAAGCAATCAATCAATCAGATTCCAAATCTCCACCATGGCCAAGACCAAAGAGCTCTCCAAGGATGTCAGGGACAAGATTGTAGACCTACACAAGGCTGGAATGGGCTACAAGACCATCGCCAAGCAGCTGGGTGAATAGGTGACAACAGTTGGTGCTATTATTCGCAAATGGAAGAAACACAAAAGAACCGTCAATCTCCCTCGGCCTGGGGCTCCATGCAAGATCTCACCTCGTGGAGTATGAGTATATCCTACAATGTGATTTTCTGGATTTCTTTTTCTCAATTTGTCTGTCATAGTTGACGTGTACCTATGATGAAAATTACAGGCCTCTCTCATCTTTTTAAGTGGGAGAACTTGCACAATTGGTGGCTGACTAAATACTTTTTTCCCCCACTGTATATTAGTGTCAGAACAAATTCCAGTTAATTTAGTAGGAAGGGATACACTATGTAGAATAGGGGTCCAGATTAAATGCAGATCAGAGGGACTAATAATAGTTAAGGAAGGGGTATGTCCACAGAAGGTAATGGGGAAACCATCATCACATTAGTAAACTATTTTGGTAGAAGGGGGGCCACAGGCATGTGGGAAAGTATAACCAACAAGGCAAGGGATAGCATATTTCAGTTTTCGAGGTAACGAAGCATGTTGGGGGTGATTGAGTGGTAGCAGTGCGGAAAAGCCTAGGGGTTTAAGTCTTATGGGATTTTATTTCGTTTTATGTGCGCTGAATTGTGGAATTCACAGGAGAAGGGAGCAGTCACAAGTGATGTTCTTGAGGGTTGTCGGAAAGGAGGGATCAGGAGATGTGGCAAGGGAGTGAGAATTTCGAATTTAGATTGTGTGGACTGATTAAGAGGTATCAAAATGAAAACTAACTAAATGTATACTTTTTCTTCCAGGAAAAAGGGGGGAGTGATTCTTTTTTCTTTGAAATATTTTCTGAGACTATAAATAAGGCCTGGCCATTTTTTGTTTGTTTATTGTTTTACTATATGGTGTTCGAATAACTACAAACAAACCACTTAGTATGAAATGTTAGCTGTATAGGATTTTTATTTCTATTTTGGGTTTTTTGATGGGATGGAAGTGAAATATTTTAAAGGGGCATACACATGTAATTTGGGTTTTTATTTATTGAGGGATGAGTAAATATGTGTGATTTATTTTGAAAAGAGCTGTACTAAGGACTTACTGTATACTTTGGATACAACATTTATGAAATGTCTTGATGGTTGTTAAGAGTAGTATACTATTGGATGAAACAATTCATTGAATGATTTCAATGACCTCTGAAATCTGTCCTGGCTTTATAGTGTGACCTGATCACCCGCACTGTAAATTCTAGAGGCATGCTGAATTAGGGGGTTAGATATAATAAGGAATTGTAAAATAAGTATATAATTTGGAAAAAATCCTATATATAAATTAGTCCAAACAGGACAAGGATGAAGTGAGAGAGTTCGTCCTGAAGGAGGGGTATTCTTGAATAGTGATATGGGATACAGTTCAGTAAAGATATGCTCAAGTGTTGTCATTTTAAGTTTAGTTATTATTTTTGGTTTGATAGGCAATATTGTTGTTGTTTTGTTTTTTGAACACATGAATCACGATGTGATGCATGTGTCCAAGGGGGGAAGTTGGGCTTACAGAGGTTTTAATGTTTTATAATGGTTTTGTGGGGAAATATGCAAGGTGTATTAAGGATATGAGCAGTAGTAATAATGTGTTATGGGTTAGGTTAAATCATTTTTGTTTTTGTGATAGGAGGCATGGTGTAGAGGAGGTCTGTCTATGAGATAAGTGGACTACAACAAGCTGGAAGCAGGTGCTTCATAATCTCAAGGCTTCTCCTGACGGATGAGAGGACATAAGTAGCATATAGTGTCTCACAACTTTATTACAATTTTATTTTCATGGGTAAAGATAACTCTGCCCAACTGAGTAGGAGAATCTGAGTATTTTCTGCGCCCTGGAGACTATGTGATGGCAAAAGACTACAGAAGAAAGAGCTGGAAAGACCCTATGTGGAGGGGCCTGTACCAGGTGTTGTTGGCTACCTCAATGATGGTAAAAGTGGGGGAGACAGATACTTAGATCCATGTTTCCTACTATAGGAGTGTTCCAACCTCAGCCATTGGGTAGCATTGTTGTCTTTTGTGTGTGTCTGTGCTTATGTGTCTTTGCAGTAGTAACTCCGAGCTTCCGTATGGGTAGGCTGATAGAAGGACACTCTTCGCAGACCGATGTCGATAGATTGAGAGGGACTCTGGCTGATCCGGAGACCCTAGTGATGGAAGAAGGTTAAAAGCTAAAGTGATCATACATCGTCATCCAGGTTACACCAACAGCGGTACGGATAGAGGGGAGTGCGATCGGGTATCATCTAAACCATTGTACCAGAGTGAGGGAACTGATGACTAAGAGACCACCGAGACTTTCAAGACATCCCAAGACCTTCCAGACCGCCGAGAGATTCCAGACCTCCAAGACGCACCAGATATCCTCATCATTGATTTCTCTGTACTTGACTAGTTCCCTGAGAATAAGGGGAATGGGGTACTGATAATAGTAGAGAGCAGAAGAACAAGACATAGAAGGGATATAGACAGGATTATAATATATATTCCTGCACAGGCAGGAACCATAACTAAAATACAGAAGTGGGGAGCAATGTTTACATAGATGGCAATCATGATAGGCATGGCACTTGTAGTAATGGGAATGGTTTTTTGCTGTATACTACCTCTGTTAAAATAATTGGTTGATCCAAACCACAGTAAAACAAATGACTGTACAGATCATTGTTACTAGTTCAGCCAAAGAAATACACCCAGTTCAGGGAGCTCCAGGAAAGTATGTAAATGAATATGGGAAATTTTGTAAACGTTAAGGGAGGACCAATGGATTGTCCATTTGGGAATTCTGAATGTTTGTATGGAGTTGTTCCTGGGGGTGGATGGGCTGCCATGGTTACAAAGCACAATAGAAAAATGTGGAGGTTAATTTAGAGGAAAACCTTCCAGACTTGTATCCAATACCTGACTGGGCTCTGGGTCCTCATCAGGATGGGTCAAACAATGAGGAATATATATTGGTTTAAATATATGCATATAAAAAGTAACCACATATGGCAAGGCTAAGAATAAGTAAATGCACAGGCTTACATTCATTTTAAAGTAAATCTTTGTATTATTGGGACATTGTTGGAATGTCCAAAGGGGGGATTATATGGTAATACATTTTGTATCATTAAGGCAAAATGTTGGGAAATGTCAAAGGTAAAATATAGTAAACATGATTGACATTCTATAATCCAGATGTATGCTCAAATAAGGAATATAGCCAATACAGTGTGTAAACATGCATTAATGTATGTATGTGTATTGTTTTTAAGAAAGGGTCTGCCACCAATATAATGAGATTAGGGAAGAGGCCTCATATGGAAAAGCGCCCATGGCCTTTTGGAGTAAACAACATGTGACATCTGGACGTTGAAAGATAAGGGTAGAGTGGCACTAAAATAAGTTCATCATTTGCCCTAAGGGGAGTGACTGTATATGGTATGTAACATGATTATGCATTTGTGTATTAAAGGGAGCTCTAAGCTAAAGAGAGACAGCCGTTCCATGGAGTGGCTCGGCTTTGTTACGCAAATAATAAAGTCTAATTTTTGGATTCACAAGCTCCAGTCTCTTGAGATATATTTTTGAGTTGACTACTTTTGAGTCAAATATTTCTACGACAGGAGTTGCAATGATCATGAGAACGGTGAGGAATCAGCTCAGAACTACACGGGAGGATCTTGTCAATGATCTCAAGGCAGCTGGGACCATAGTCACCAAGAAAACAATTGGTAACACACTACGCCGTGAAGGACTGAAATCTTGCAGCGCCCGCACATATACAGGCCCGTCTGAAGTTTTCCAATGAACATCTGAATGATTCAGAGGAGAACTGGGTGAAAGTGTTGTGGTCAGATGAGACCAAAATCGAGCTCTTAGGCATCAACTCAACTCGCCGTGTTTGGAGGAGGAGGAATGCTGCCTATGACCCCAAGAACACCATCCCCACCATCAAACATGGAGGTGGAAACATTATGCTTTGGGGGTGTTTTCTGCTAAGGGGACAGGACAACTTCACTGCATCAAAGGGACGATGGACGGAGCCATGTACCGTCAAATCTTGGGTGAGAACCTCCTTCCCTCAGCCAGGGCATTGAAAATGGGTCGTGGATGGGTATTCCAGCATGACAATGACCCAAAACACACGGCCAAGGCAACAAAGGACTGGCTCAAGAAGAAGCACATTAAGGTCCTGGAGTGGCCTAGCCAGTCTCCAGACCCAAGTCACCCCCTGTACCTGGACTTTGAATTACTCCCCTCTGGGCGTAG